TTCACGCACTGGAGATAAAAATTTGTTTTCTGTACAACGTTGCCATGGCTCGCTTTGAAATCCTTGAGTTTGTTAAGCAAAAATTCGTTAAAGTTTTAGAAAATAGGAAATCGATAATAAAACAAATTTCAAATTTGAAATTTGGTCTTCCACATGCCCATATTCGTAGGAGGATTACGTCATTCAAAATTTGCTGTCTCTGTGTACCGTTGTTTCAGCACAGTGCGAGAAATATACATACATTTATGCAGATTTTTCATTATCTAATTTCTTTAAGTATAACACAAGACTATAATACTTTGTGGCAACAGTTTGAAAGTGATTCGCCGTCTGTAGTGAATTCACGCAAAACGAAAACAATAGTCCTTCAGGGGCAAATCCCTTTGGACTAAGAAAGTGATGGGGAAATCAAAGAAATTGCTTTGTGGACCTAAAGATCCTAATTTCATCAGTATTAAAAATCGATAAAAGGATAAATCCTTAAAAAAAAAAATATAAATAAATAAATAAATAAAATAAATAAATAAAAGAAAGAGGCCTTTTTTTATTTTTTATTTTTAAGTGGATCGATGCCAGTAGAGAGTACGAGACAAAATATGCATACCAATTTCTAACTGAAATCAGTAATATTTTACAGGCCAAGGGCAGCGTAAAGTGGAAACGCATTTACTTCCCAGATGTCCTTCCTTAGTGCTCTTAAAACGTAATTATTACTTACGGAAACTTAATTATATGTCTTTATCCATTTTGATTCGCTTAACAAAAAAAAAAAAAAAAAAAAAAAAAAAAAAAAAAGATAATTTTTTTTAATTATTATTTAATAATATTTATAAGTCATAAACTCCCATATAAAATGACTAAATTGTGGAAGGAAATTTCTTGAAAATCCATGCTTAAACAATAATTTATAAATCTAATCTCCATCACTCAAGCAGTTCTATTTGCTTTTACGTCACTTATTTTAAAAATTAATTATTCAAAAGTACTAGTGATTCCAAATTTTATCAAATGAATAGCTAAACTTAAATTAAAAAAAATTATTTTATAATTTGAAGCGAATTAAGATCAACTCAAGGTATGCCTCAGAGCTTAATGAGATTGTTACCATTATCGGTAATTAGAAAAATCGTAAAATACTAGGAAAGAGATGAGTTTGCACATTTTCGCTCGACTTCTGGAGCGCTAAGTAGTCAAAGTCAAACGCTATCCAGTTTGAAGTCGATTTAATTAAGCTAACGGAAAACGTTTAAGGGAGTATGGAAAAACTTTGACGTCACGTAACGACGATCTTTGAACTTCAAACAAAACGATCATTCAGAAAGAAAAATAGCGAGAGAGAAAATTTATGTCGGAACAGCGAGAAGTACTGCGATCTGCAGCCGGAAGAGCCATCTAGCGGATAAATACCGAAAAACGCTGCCGGAAATCTTAACTGTTTTGTTGGAAGTTTATAAATTTATGTACCTGTTTTCACTTAACTATTCTTACTTTAACAAGGCTCTCAAAGATAATACTTTTTAAATCTAAGGTAAGTTTTAAAAGATTGTTTGATGTTTCAATTAAATAAAAGTATTAAAAAAGAATTTTGACTACAAATATCGAAGTAAACTATAACTTAATATTACATTAAGTAAATCAAGTAATGCGTTAGGGCGGAAGTTATTTAGCATAATAGCTAATTGCTATACAATTTGTTTTTAGAACGTTTGGGATTTAAACGTGCTTTTGTGTTAAGAACTAGAATGAGCAGAATTCTTTCCCTCAGAAACGCAACTACTTTCAGCAAATGCAATTTAAAAAAGACACTGGTATACTGAAAAACACAATATAAAACAAATGTCAGATTATTTATAGTTTCATTCTCAATGTTTATTAAATGGCTCATTTCAGATTTTGAATGTAATTGAAAAAAGAAACCGAAAAGATGCTTTTCATCTCTCTTTCCCCCTTTTTATTTCCTTGTACGAAGTATTGCAATCGTGAAAAATTTTGGGTATCATATTTCACATTGAAATAGCCATTTTGACTGCTCTCGAATTCATTCTGTCAATTTTTTCGTGTGACATCTGTACGCATGGACAGATTTAAGGACTCTTTTTCTCCAAAGCGTAATGTTAAGTGGATTTAAAATGGATTCTAAACGGGATTTTTTTTCGTAACGTACGTACCACGTATGTATATATATTGCAGAAATAAAAAACGATTAGCTGTAGAACGTTGAAATTTTTTTTATTGGACTGCTATAACATCTAGTTGTGCACCTCCCTTTTTCATTGCAGTCTATAGTTATACACCCATTCCCTTACCCGTTTAAAAATCCTCACCTGACCTTTATTTTCGCAATTGTTCATCGTAATCATATATTTCCAATTACAGAAGTGTTTTTAATGACAAAAATATTCAAATTTGGACAGAGCAAAATTAAATAATAATAATAATAATAATAATAATAATAATAATAATAATAATAATAATTTTGAACAAATAACAAAATCTAATTTTAGATTCAATCTTCCGGTTCCTATACTTAGTTATATTAAGGAAAGCTTACACTCGTTGTAAAAAATAAAACTATATGATGTTTGACACCTGCACAACAAAATTGACCCGGATATTTAATTAAAAAAATTTGCAGTTTTTGATATCATTTTCAACTTTCCTTGAGGGTTCAATTAATTAAGTTAATAATTCGAGGAAATAAGTTTAAATGATGTGCAGTCAAAATGTGTATAATTTAATATGCTGTACAAGGAAGACATATGGTGTCCAGATCAGATTTTTTTTATATAAAATTCGAAAAGGAAGATACAGATATTCTTTTACACCAAACAGTACATTTTCATTATGCGCAGAATTTTATCAGAATTATGAGATACATATCATATAATATCTAAAAGTATGGGAATAATTTTCGAAATTTCATCTCCGTATTTATAAAAAATTATCAACACATTCGTAAAAAATATAGAAAAGTACATAAATATTATTCTGATAATTTTTAGCTAAAGGAAGACAAAATACAACACTACTTGTCATTACCTCGAATCGAACCTATAAACAACCTATAAAACCTATACATCACCTATAAAATGAAATTTACCTACAAATATTTTTTATTATTTGAATAAGCATAATTATTAAATTAGTGTGCATAGGAGAATTAAAGACATTGTTTTTGGAGGAAAAAAATCAGTTAAGGTGAGCGCTTTAACTAAGTGTTCTTATGAGTGAAATTAATATTTAAGCTTCAATGAAATTTAATAGCAAAACAAGAATATGTTATATGAACGATGACTAAACACTACATGCTAGGAAAGTAAAATTTTCATCGATTTTGTAGAAAAGTCTATTAATATTATTCAATATTTTCAAATGCTACATTAATCATCAATTTAATCATTAAGTGTAAATTACTAACATGCGTAGCATTTATGATCCTGATAAATAATAAATTTTAAAAAAATTAATAAATCCTATATATGTACATGTATAAGAATCCAAAAGCAGTTTAAAAAGCAAATTTTACAAGAATGGAAAATCAGAAGTCTGGAGATTTCTAATGCAAAAGGTAATCTTCTGACCTTTAAATGGGGAAAATCTCATGTATAATTCAAACAAAGAAATTTGTATGTAATAAAGATGCAATTTTTAGCCCAAAAGGGACGTTACTCCCGAATGGGATAGTTGTTTCGGATCGAAGCGGCATTTCGCATCGAAGTATTTAAATGCGTTTTATCACTTTCGAAATTGTTGCAACCAAATATTATCGCGCCAATATTCCTGTGCCACCAATATTCCTGTGTTATATATAAAGAAATATATGCCACCAATATTCCGGTGTTATAAAGAAATTAAATAATGAAGAATGTGCATGAATATATATATAAGTTTCTCGCATTGTGATAAAACATCGATATCTAGAGGAATCTGGTTTTGAATAACGTAGTCCTCCACCCGAGCATGGGAACCTGGAGCTCAAATTTTGAATTTCAAATTTATTTTCATTGTCTATTTCCTGTTTTGCAAAGCTTTCCCGATTTTTTTATAAATAAACTAAATGATTTCAAAGCGAGCAATGGCTTCACGGAATAAAGCATTTTTATCTCCGCTGCGCGAGACTGCTGTTTTTAAATATTCTGTGATTAAAAAAAAAAAAAAAAAAAAAAAAAAAAAATTCAGTCAAAAAGGTACATTATTGAAATCACCAATTGGCATTTCTTTATAATGATACAGCTTTACCAGCAGCAGTTAAAATTAATCGCATCCTTCAAAACACATGAATTTGTTAATATAAATGAAAGACAATTGAGAAGTAGTATAAAATAAATATTTTTATGCACAAAGCAAGATGGAAGTAGTCTTAGAAAAAGTGCTTCCTAATTTTAAAGAAAGAATATTGTGGTTTCAGTAGCAAATTATTTAAATATAATCATTTTTCCATTTAGTAATTTGTTCTTAAAACTGCAGAAGCCAAACCTGAAGTTTACATGTTGTTGTTACTATCATTATTTTATGTATGTATGTATTATATTATGTATTAAAATAAAGTAAAATTTTTTTAACATAAAAGGTTTTTCTTTTATCTTAGCATGGTTGATACTATATATAATTACTATTCTAAAACGCTAAATTTTTTAGTCTTTATTATTTGTTTATTGTTGCAAAACATAATAATAAAAATTTTAAACCTTATTACTTAAAATAAAATAGCATTAATTAATTCTGAATTATACATTTATTTACATTACATTACCCACTTTTAAAAATAAGTAATTGTTTACAAATACGACTTATGAAGTATGTAGTCCAATTAGAATATCGTTAATAATAGTTTTCGAAAACGATTATTGCATAATATTGGCTTCAGTAAAAATTTCCATTATAATTATGTGCCTTAATGAAACTGCTTTTAAAGAAATCCATAAAAATTTAAATCATGTAGAAAATTGAACTCAAATTATTAACATAAAGCATGATGGCAGAAAAAGGGAAAATTATACTTAGCCAATTTGTTGACGTTCCAAGCATTCTCTTCCATTGAAAGATATTCTGTAATATAGCAACGACATATTACATACGAAATTTTTAAACATTTATGATTGCCAAAGAAAGTGGTTCAATTATGCTTACATATATATATTTAAAATGAAGAAGCAGTTGTTGCGAAAAAGTATAGTTTTGAAAGTGACCATGTAAAAAGAAATGAGTTTGAGTACAAATGCGAGAAAAACAGTTAAGGGGAAAATAAATAAATAAATACACACAATAAATAAATAAACAAACACAAATCACTTACAAGTATGCAAATGTTAAATACGATACAACTGAATGACATGCCCTGATGTAAACAGACAGGAACGGAACAGCCATGCACAAATGTAAACAAATCAATCCCAAATAAAATAAACATACAGCAACTCAGAAAACAGATGTAGAAGTAGGGCAACATACATCAAAATATTAAATGATTATAGGGAAAATAAGGAGTATGATATATTAACGTTTCCTAAAACTGAATAAAACAGGTCTGTAAACAACATTTGCAAAAATATTTAGGACTAATTTGAAAGCTATCTAAGTGGAATTATTTAAATTTATGATGTATCGTTTCCGAAACTTTGAAAAAGAAGACATTTATGTATTCATCAGCAACTTAATTTCATTGTATGTGATTACAGTACTAGTTTTCTTATTATTTTTTAGTTATATTGGAGTTATGCGTTTATAATACGAATAAATTACGTAACTGTAAATGCGTAAATTTGTATACTAACACTTGCCCTAATTTTTTTTTTTTCAATGCTCAAACATGAGTTAAGAGCACAGGTTATTGTAAGAACACGTCGGCATATGGAGGCATGACGAATGAAATAAATAGCTTTAAAAAACTCAACAACGTAGAAAACTCCTGTGAAAGCTTCGATCTTAGCATTTTTTTTCCTAACAAAATCTCTGCGTTTAAAAGCTAATCCATCAAATTTTTAAGGTCACAGCGGTAGCTTTATCCTTCCCTCCCCTCAAGGGTTCTAAAAATCGCTTTCCGAAGGCATTTGGGAAGAAGACAGACCTTACCCTCGTCACGTGTACTTTGTGGGGAGGACGAAGAGAAGTAAGAAAGAAAAAAAGTAAAAGAAAGAAAGAAACCCCCGGCAAGTGCTAGAGGTATTTCGATTCCTGTGTCACGTTTTGACGTGGAAGAATAAAGTGGGAGGGGGTAAGGACGAAATGACAGCGAAGTTTCGTGAAAAAGAAACACGGAAAGTAAAATAAATAAATAAAAAATGATACTCTTGCAGCGTGACACATATTAATTGATGTGGCAGGGGCGGTGGTGGAGGGGGGAGGAAATTATAATGTGGTCGACGTAGGGGGGAGAACCAGGAGTGTGGAAGGTGCAGGGGGGGCAAAGCCATTCGCCAAAGCAAAGGTATCGATCAAACGAACGCGAGAGTGTACCCGTGGAAAGTTGCTTTTCGAGCTGTCAGTCAGAGCGAGGGTTTTGAGGAGGGAGTGAGCGTTTTCCAAAGCTCCGTTCGCTACGCCGACTGGTTGGCCCGCCCGCCCGAAACACTACGCCCACCTAGACGTTCCCAGAGCGCTCTGGCGATCGCTTCTTTTACCGGCACAGCGCCAGTCGAGACGGCCAGTAGTAACTCGCTCTCGCCATGGCACGGTCGTAAACAACTCAAGCTCTTCGACTTTAACCATTGACACCAAGCCCACGGAAGCCGCTATCATGGAGAACTGAGATGTTTGTGAGTTTGCTGCTAAAGTCTCGAGGATAGTTGCCACTTGGACATTTATTTTTTCCGAACTTTTGAAAATTTCAAGAACTTGGCACACTTATTCGAAAAGACTTGACTGTATGTCATTTGAAATGGCATCAGTAATTAGTAATGTGGGCTGAGAATACTTTAAAATTTTGGCGATGAGCTAGTTAGGAAGTTTCATCGTGGGAAGATCTTTGCTGTTTACATGTTATTATTGTTTACAGTCACATTGTAATCGTATTATTGTCGACTGAACTTTGCAACTGAGGATCTTAGACACTTTTTTTAAAAAACAGAGGGGTATTAACTGAAACCACAAATTAAAAGAACATTTATTAGGACTATGAGCTTTTAGTCTTTGACTATTTCCGAACACAAATTCTGCGGCAACTAGTCTTGTTTATATTTTACTTCTCAAATACTCATAAACTCTTCGTTCGAAAATGAGTTCTTACCAATTTGTGAATTCGTTGACTTCCTGTTACGGACAACGCAGCCAAGACTCTTCGAGTCAGGACTATTACACACCTCAGGTACAAACCTATGGAGGTTGCTACAGTGGTCCAGGATCACCTGTTCAACAATACGGGCCCTATCCGCAGCACAGCGTACCCCACTTGCAGAATGGGGATCATCATTTTAACAGCTGTTCTCAGAATCGTCTGAACCACCCGAACCCTAGCCAGAGCCCTCGCACACCAACCCCCTCTGTTACTCCAGTTCCCAGTTGCAAGTACGCTGAACCGAGTGCGGCCTCTCCCCAAGATTTGAGCACCAGCGGGTCTCACCCTCCGCCGGCGGGCAGCCCCGAATCTAGAACCTCCCCTCAACCCCCGAGGCAGGCCTCACAAAATCCGCAACACCCCTCTCCCACGCATTCCCAAGGGGTACCCCCGACGCAACAATCGTCTAGCCAGCAGGCCAGTCCTCAGCAAACGCAGGGTCCACAAGATTCCTCGTCACCGCAAGCGGCCCAGCAAGGACAACCAAAGGCGGCCTATCCCAACAACCCGCCCCAAATCTATCCCTGGATGAGAAAAGTTCATGTTGGGCAAAGTAAGTGAAAGCAATTTTGATTTTTAACTTTTAAGAAATCATTCCACAAAGTTGGAAGAATTCATTACAATGCAAAGATTTTCATATTATTAAAAATGAATAAAGCAAAAGAACAAAATGTATTCTAACGACACCTCATCTTGGCTGATATTTAAAATTAGAACTACCGAAGTGTTGAAATTTCATTTTATTCTGCAAAAGGGGAAAATGCATCATTTTGATGGATCTGTAGCTCTAGTGCTTTAAATACATGCAAAATATTTTATATTCAATATCATAATGGAATTGAGGTCTTAAAATAATTTTTCTGCTATAACATTTGAATTCATTTGCAGTTTAGCTTAATCAGTTTCACATTTTCTATTGGCATCATAGTAACAAACTAGACAAAGCAGTAAGTGTTTTGCATTAATATAATATTACTTAAAACACAAGATTTATACTGAGTAAAAATCATACAAATCAGTTTGCATGCAAATTTTTTGCAAAAATGCAAGGAGAGATTTTTTTTTTAATGTCTTATTTAAAAGGAGAAGAAAACACTTGAACGTCAAATGAGACCCATATTAATTTCGGAAAATTAAACTCTTTTTTTAAACTATTTTTAAAAGCATTTTTAATACAATTTTCTTTAAGAATAATATGAACTCTACTTTACTTTCAATTAAAATAATTTGAATAAGCTGAAAGTGTGAAAGATATCAAAATCATCGGAAATATTCATAAGAACAGAAATAATCAATATTTAAATATGCTAAGATTTCTAACAGACATTTTCCTTACCCTAGCATAGTTTCTTAATGTCATTTGAATATTTTTATAACAACATCATCACGATGTATTACTGTACACATAAGTTTACAGAAAGAATCGGTTCGGCTCTATATCTCCTCTATCTGCTCTATATATCTCCTATTATACGTATTTTGGATAATTCAATTATAGCTAAGTCCAACAACAAATGTAAATGAAGTTAACTACATTGCTTAATAACGAACTTGAGTATGGAAGAGGGAAAAAGATAGGAACGTTTTCATGTTTTCGCCTTTTAAAATTTTTAATGTGAGGCTAATGAATGATGCATACCGAAAAACAAACAATCAGAAAGATAAACTTGAAAAAGCTTATCTGCAAGAAAACATATTGTGTTCGCTTAACTTAAAACTATTATCAATAATCAGAATTCATTTGCATATATGTAACTGATAATGAATACGAAAAATGTATTCTAATTATTCATAATACAACAAAAATAATCTTGTAGTTAGACTGAATTGATACAAAAATACTAAAGAAACTAAGGTGAAAGAAAACCCCCGAAATATTAATATCAGATTAATCTTACTCCTATTGCTATCATAAAACGATAATTATTCATCGTTATGAAAACAAAAAATTGCTGTTAAACATGCTATAACCTAAAGAAATGAACATCAGTACTCTTATTTCAAGGTATTTCAGTATTCTGAATAATTGAATTTCATATAATTGAATATAACTATATTACACATTATTGAAACATTTTAAGTAATAGGTTATTACGAATTAACTTTAATACGATGCCATAGAAAGTTTATCATATTAATATTAATTCATTAAAACAAATGCATAAATTCTTGACTTAAAGTTATTGCTGTTAGTAAAATTAACAGCATTTTCAATGAAAATATGGTTGTGAAATACTATATTGAAATTCTTGCGCAGTTTAGTTTCATCCAAGAGACTGAATGAAGTATGCTTCATATGTATATAAATTTAGGCATATTTTATGTAGTATGTTTTTAGAAGTAACTTATGGAATTTTTCAATTTAGTTTAATTAACATTTTGTAGCATGAAAGTCTAATCAACCAAAAGCAAATTATTCTTGTTTAACTATGATTATTGCACAACAAAGCAAGAGCGTCTATCTTCACATTATTGTACACAATTTATTAAGAAATCGTGACATAAATAAATGTCATAACTAGTAAGTAAAATTTAATGTTAGAACACACTTTACTGAATACGATAGTATTAACGGCCACTAAAATAAGCAATGATTCTGTATTTATTAATACAATCTGGAAGATATATTTAGCTCTTGTACCATAATATTGTTCTTATACCATATATATATACACATTCGTATTCTCAAATTCTAATACTAAAATAAATGTTCAAGTGAAAAATACTTTAAAAAGTTAATATATAAGTAACTTTAATGATTTAAGATAAAAATCTATGTCTGTAATATATTAAAAATATGGTAAAATATGTTGGTATTCAAATATGCTATACAAAATCTCTTGAAAATTAATTTAAAAAATTGTGAATATGCAGTTAAAATAGCTGTACAGGTCAATACATTCATGTTGATGCGCTAATTCTAATACTTTAATACGTACAATAATAATAAATAATTTCAGTGTTTTGATATTAAAAATCTATGATTTTAAATTTAGTTTGTTAAAATTATCGAAAGTAAACATATCGATATTCAAATATACCATAATCAAAATAATTTCAAGATCTATTTAAATAATACAACGTTTTGTAAAATATGTAGTTTCAATATAAATAAAATTAGAGAAATGTAAATACTGATGTTATAAAACCTAAATCCTAGTAAATATAGGATGCTCGAAATATGATATTTTTAGATTTTACCCGTATCCAGAACGCGATACATTTGCAAATGTTTACTTATCAGATTCCATAAAAATTAAACTGCTAGGACTGTGGTAGTCAAATCCATGGAATTCTATGAATAATAATAATTAAGAGCTGAAAAAGAATATATATAAATGAAATAGTATAAATAAAATAACGTTGATGCATGTATACATGGATACCCAGATGCATATCGTTTGTACGCACTTTCGGAATGGATTTCATAATAATAAAACTACTGAAGGAACTACGGCATGAAGATAGAGAATCAAGAAATTCTCTCCGTCCATCACCTGCATTGAATTTTGCCACTCCGCCATTTTCGATATCCTATTCGCGGCATAGCTCCATCAATCAGTAGAGCAGCTCGCATCTAATACGGAAACTCAAAAAGCAATCATCGCAGTCAATTAGATGTACACTTTAGAACAACTTCGCAGTAAATCACGACTCGGCTCATGCCTGACGAGCAATCACGACGAGACACTCACATCACAACAATCCGCCATTGCTTTCCCGCTGCCGTTAGGCCTAACTCGGAAACATCGAAGATCTTTTTCCGGTATTTCGAACGAACAGAATTCGTTTACGTGTGCGTTCTCCAACAAACTGGCCGGCTTGTGGCGTGTCTGACCCAAGGAAAGAGCTTTTACTAGCATCCAAACCATCGTAAATATTCGGCGAGCGACTGCTGTCACTGAAGTTTCTCCTCCCAAAGCCCATAAAACGGCTCGGTTAGGCCTATAAAACTATCCGCGCCGCCATAATTTTGTCAGAGGCAGCACTAGGGAGGCAGTTATCGCCGAAGAGAACGTACTCCCAGCTCCCGGGTCCAATTGGAACGGCGCGCCGGCAGTTTTATGACCGCTATAAAATTCTCCTGTAACCACAGCACGCTCCATACTAAAAGCTAAGCCTTTGCCTTTTATTTCTAACTTATTTTAGAAGGAAAGAATTCTACGAGTAGCGTTCGAACGGTTCTTTTATTTTTATGAGAACGATATGTTTTTTTAACTTTTTTTTTATAATTGCTATATTTTTACGCTTTGTTGCTGATGTAAATCCATCTGAATACTTAATTCCGTGTATATCTACATTATCTGAAATAAAATAAAGTATTCATTTATTTGCATGGTATATTTCTTCCCCTTCTGCCTGCTTCTACACGTAAACTCTCAATGCAGTGCAAAAAAATTCTCCGTGATTTTTTATTGCATATTGAATTTTCCTAACTGTGAAGAAAGGGGGGGGAAGAATTATATGCAAAACATGTCTCTCTAAACTTATTTTTATATCATTCATTTGTTAAGCCAATTAAAAAAAATAAGTTATATATTTTTTAAGTGTCAAATTATTTATTTATATTACTATTCTGTTATCAAGTGAATAAAAAAGTAAAACAAAAATTGATGATTCAACTTTTAAAAATATATTATGTAATATTTGCCTGTAAATATATATTATTTAACATAAAAGTGACACCACATCTTTTTCATATAATTCTTTACAAAGCAGAAAAATGGGGTTTAAAATATGTTCTAGAAACATTGTTAGATAAAGAAGAAATTCATCCACATATTTCTTTAAATACTGAAATTTTGGCAATGTAGTAAAATATATTACATTTGTCTGTACAAAAATCATACAATTCGGTTTACATATGATTTAAAATCAGCATACTGTTTACATAAATTACAGCCTTAAAAACATGAACTTTATGACAATGGTTCCGCAAACGTAAATTAAGATCAGTAAACATAAATTAAGGTTTAATTATTCAACTAGTTTTAAGGTTTCAAAATTTTTAAAGTAATATAACATACTAGCTGGAACGCTTTTTGACGCCTCACAATTATAAAGGGTTTACATAAGAGAATACAATTAGATATTTAAATGAGAGATGAAAAAAAAAAAAAAAAAAAAAAAAAAAGATTAAATGTGGAATTAGAGCTGACACTACCGTTCTGCACATATATATATTGTTTCTCAGAAGCATTACAAAAAGGGTTTTCATAAACTTACATATTTTCATAAACATAATATTTTACAACTGATTGTGTAAACAATAATCTTCATATCACCTGTGCCGTTTGCTTAAAAATTTATGTTAAGTATAATTTTTGCAACCGTTTAAGCAATATTATCAGTACTGCGGTGAACGTACAATATATAAGACGTTATATAAGACGACATAATTCAGAAGATTCGTTATTGTAATACTGCAATTATTGAGACTGTAATACTGTAATCCGAATGTCCCCACATTTTATTTTTGTTATTTATTTTTCGCATCGACCTAGTAGATATACAATATTAAATATATATATATATATATATATAGTTATATATGTAAGGAAATTGTTGAAATATAAGAGCATTATTTAAGAAATAATTTTAAAATTATAAAAATATTAATATATTTGTAGAAATTTGTAAAAAATTTGGTTAGTCAAGGGATTACGCGAGACTATTAAGACTAAGAAATATTCATCTAACTTTCTTGCAAAGCTTGGACGAATAGCAAGTTATTGAATACAGTGTGTCCATTAGGCTATTCTTCGATGTCTTCCAGTTGCCCATGTGTGTTGTCCGGCGTTCTGACATAAACAGTGTATTCACTTATAATAAAATGTAATTGAGAAAATACCCTATTACTTCGCATTTAAACCGTACTTTTCATTCAGATTTAATAATAATAATAATGTTGCTGTTATGGCAAATCTCGCTTGTTAGATTTCAGAGCAAGCCTACGAAATTCATCGTGGCACGGAGGCAAGATTACGCCTGTCATTGGCAGTAGCTTTGGGCACCGTACAGGAGACAGTACGACTTATGCTCAGTTCCGCCCCCACCATTTTGAAGAAGAGCACTCCGAAAGGCGGGTTCGAGGGTCTTCCACTCCCCTCTTCCCTTACCACCAGCCTCTCGAGAGGACTTTCGGCAGGCCGAATATTTAGAGGGACTCCATGCCGCACAGACACCATACATTTGCAAACATCCATGCTTTCTCTTGGATTCGAGCCTGAGCCCTTCGGTACGGCAGTCAGATTCACTAACCACTATTCCGGCTGCGCAGCAATAATAATAATTTAAATGGTATTGAAGATTATAAGATATGACGCAATAGTGATGATAAGGTTAGGTTAGGTTATATGAATATGACAAATATGGTTCATCCCGTTAAGACTAATAGCCCAATTTGGCTAACGTTCCTTTTGGGCTAATTGAACAAGAGTTCAACTAATTTATACTTCATTTAATAATTTATCTGTATTTAAAACAATTTTATAGAAATAAGGCTACACAAGGAAATAATAATAATAAAAATTCAGAAAGGAAAATAATTTTAAAAAATTCAAAAACAAAACAGCAAATATTACATTTCCAAAACACCATTTCTTTTCCTTTTATTATCAACTTGTGGACTATTTCCTTGTATTATCATGCAAAAATAAAAAATTTAATTTCTAAATTATAACGTTTGATTCATTTGCTTTGAACTTCTGATGCAATCAGAATTAATAAGTATTTACGACAGAAGCCAAGAATGTTATTCATCTTGGTTTGGACTTATGAGCAAATAATAACATATAATTAGCAAACCAATTAAGATTTGTAGGTATTTTTTATTCTAACATGTTTGTTTCCCATACTAATGACTTTTTGCTAAGCAGCTGATATTATACCTATTCTAAAACACGCTAGGTAATTTCTGGAAGCGTTAAAACCGAAAATAACAAAACTTAATATGCATGCAACATTCGGCTTGAAAAAAGGAAGGGAGGAAAAAAAAAACAACTTAAAAACTAAATCTTTCCTCATTTCCCTTTGGCAAAGTAACTTGAAGTATAGAATATGTTATTTTAACATTCATACCAGAATGAACAATAAAATTGCAGTTAATTACATTACTAATTTGTATATTTAAATCTAGCTTTCTTTAAGGCATTAAACAATTCCAAATGCCATTGGAGGGGAAAAAAAAAAAAAAAAAAAACTCTATTAAATCTATTAAAACGTACTAAATACTCGTTTTAACTGCCACAAAGGGATTTTAAACCGATGTCTTGTAGCTTTTATGATAATCTGATATTAGTTTACATTGACTGCAAGGTCTTCCGGCGTTCAGCGTAGTTAAGTAGCGTAGTAATTGCTGTTAGTCAACATGCATTCTTACAGACGCTCAGAAATGAAATACGAAATCTGTCATTTACTTTTACAGAAGCATAAATATCCATGTACAAATCACAAATAACCGAAATGTAAACGGAAACCTGCAGGGAATGCATGAGTACATTCAGTAGTAAAAAAGTGTTACGCATTTTTTTTTTTTTTTTTAGTCCAAAGGGGCTTTGTCCCTGAAGGACTATTGTTTTCGTTTTGCGATTTTGCGTCGGACTCATAAACGTCGGTTCACTTTTCAAACTGTTGCCACAAAATGTTAGAGTCCTGCATTATATTTGAAGAAATTAAATAATGAAAAATCTGCATAAATGATTGTCTATTTCTCGCATTGTGATAAAATAAACGTCGGTTCACTTTTCAAACTGTTGCCACAAAATGTTAGAGTCCTGCATTATATTTGAAGAAATTAAATAATGAAAAATCTGCATAAATGATTGTCTATTTCTCGCATTGTGATAAAGCAATGGTACATAGAGCCATCGAATTTTGAATGACGAAATCCTACTGCGAATATGGGCATCTGAAATCCCAAATTTGGAATTTGTTTTATTATAGATTTTATATTTTGTAAAACTTTAACGAATTTTTGATTTACAAACTCAATGCTTTAAAGCGAGAAATGGCAACGTTATATAGAAAAAAAAATACTTTTATCTCCAGCTCGCGAGACTGTGTATATCGGAAATTCTAAGATATGCTTAGTTTAACATTATTTTGCGATATTGCTCTTGAACTGAATTTTATGGTTTAAAGTGCAAAGAACATGATATTTTAATAAATAAAGGTACCACTCAAAACGTTAAAAAAACGCCCCTTTGGACGTAATTTTAAAATCTGAAACATTTCAGATTTTTTTTTATTATTATTATTATTATTATTATTATTATTATTTAAGTAATAAAAACCTGAAAATACCATTCCGAAAATCTAAAATGTCTTAATCCGCAATTTAACATTAAAAAAAAAAAAAAAAAAAAATGCATGAAAATACCTTCCATTACCCTTCACGAACTTAAAAATAATAAAGTTAAGGAAAAAAATCTAAAAGTTTTCAGATTTTTAACGGTCGCCCAAAAGGCTTTGTTAAAGCCTTGAGCTTGCAGTGGTGCTGTTGTACTTACTCCTGCTAATACCACTTTTAGCCCAAAGGAGCATCAGGCCAGAAGGGCTCTTAGTCTCGAAACGAGTTGGTGTATTTAATTATGGCAAAGCACACGGGGGCTATCTGCCTAAGGGGAGGGATGCCTTTCGTGGAGGACTTTCTAAGGGAAACTGGCTCGTATACACGTTACACACATGGGGAAAACCACGAAAACGCCCATGCAGCCAGCCCGTTCGCGGGATTCGAACCTCGGACCGAACTACCAGTGTTCAGCGACATTACCGCTCGGCCGCTGGTGGGCCTCGAAACGGGAGGCGGGGCATAATACTCTTAAGAACTACATCTATTGTGTTCAAATAGCTTAGTGTGTTAATAAACGGCAGACAGATTCAGTTTAAAAGAAAAATATCTTACATT